AAGAGGAAGGATGAGGAAGGATCAAGGCATGCGGTAACAAGCGGAAGCTAAAATACACCTTCCTCCTTCCTTTTTCTTTTAAAACACACCTTCCTCCTTCCTTTTCCTATAACACACCTTCATCCTTCCTTTTTCTTTTAAAACACACCTTCCTCCTTCCTTTTTCCTTCTTCGTCTTGTTACCACATACCTTCCTTCTTCCTCTTATCACAACACAAATTCCTCCTTCCGCTTCTCGCCGCAGACCTTCCGCCTTCCTCTTGGTGCGACACACCTTCATCCTTCCTCTTGATAGAATACATTCCTCCTTCCTTCCTTCCCTTTACGTCAGAAGATCAATCGGTACGAAGTCTTATTGATATCAGGTCAGTAACTTTTTACTACTCTTATGACTACCATTGTTTTCATTGAACTCTTTCATAATAGATTATTTGAAGCATTTTTTTGATCTGATAAATAGTCATTTTCAGTACTAACGTTTTTTATCATTTTTCAGTACTAAAATTGTTTTGTCATTTTTCAGTACATCCATAAATAACTATCAAGAATAAGTCCAAAGTATGTAAAAAGGTGTAAAACACTTTATCGTGACGCTATCCGTAAATCTTGCGTCCGGAGGTGTAGATTATGATGACGAGAAGGACGCTGACAGAAGTTTGACAACTATAATTTTTGTTTTTGATTTTGACAAACATATTCCAGGACATATGAATCAATGAAATTAAACAGGCAAAGCACACAAATGTCATACTAGTGATAGGTTTAGCTAGCTATAAAACCAGGTTCAATCCACCATTTTCTACATAAGAAAATGCCTGTACCAAGTCAGGAATATGACAGTTGTTATCCATTCGTTTGATGTGTTTGTTTTTTTGATTTTGCCATTTGATTGGGGACTTTCCTTTTTGAATTTTCCTCGGAGTTCAGTATTTTTGTGATTTTACTTTTTATTGTCGTTTTAATCTTGCTGACGAAAACTTCAAAATCTACACATTGTCATGAAAACTACGAACCGAGAACTGTCAACAGATTAAGGAAACTGCAAATTTTAAGTAAAGAATTACGACTTAAAACAAGGAAGTTTACATTACATGGTGATCATGAATTTGAATATGGTGTACAAACTAAAGGCATTTTTAGTTTACTACATACCGTTTCACTTAAACAAATATTGGTGGAGTGTCTTCAAATATCTATTTTTTTGTAAACCTAATCGTATTCTAAATATTCAATTAAACTACTCTTTCTTTTTTCAGAACATGGAATCTTGGATTAAAGCAAAATTTGAAGAGTTGGTAGGTATATTTATATATTACTGGATCTGTTGATACTTATTACATAGACTTTCCTATATGACTTGAGTTACACTGTTATTAATTAAAGTGAATATTATGTGGCTATTCACGTCAATTTAATAGTTCAGTGTAGGATTAGTATTCCAATATGACTTGTTGTTTTAATTGTAACTAATTCTATTTGATTTCTTTCAGGGCCAAGATCTGAAGAATGAAATAAGAAAACAACATATAGGTAGAATTGTTTGCATTATTGTAACATATGCTTGTTCTGGAGAAAATCCCATTTATCTGGACAAAACGATCTGCAATTGGTTTCTATAGGGACGATTTCGATGTTTCATTACTATTACTTAGTGACTACCTTCACAATATAAAAACTACACCACAAGAAAGCAGATTGCGCAAAATTCCCTATATTTTATGTGTCTGTCAACATTGCCATGTTTGTGCACTGAATATACAAGGTCCTTTTTATAACCAAAATATGCCAAAGGAAAAAATAAAGGCCCTACAACGAAGATAGTAGTACTTACGTAGTAAGTTCAGTCTTTAAAACTAAAAGTAAGATAATTAAACTTGTTTCAAATCTTAATATTACTAGAACTTCATATAACAGCTTTAACGCGATTTATGATATGATCTGTTCATCCATCCACCTGTTTACATATAGTATAATGTGGAAAAGAATATGATTTTAATATTTCTGATCGCAGAAATCATTTCTAAAGTCGTATTCAGATTTGTTGTCAAAACTTCTTGTGGTGTCATACAGACCATACGAAAAGAGCTGATATTTCGGTATTAATATTAAGAAAGACAGTTGTATGATGTTATTAATTTTGGCGGCATTTTCAAAAAATGAAGTTACTTGTGTCATTTATCTGATTGAGTTGTGTAAAATATTGAGTGTTGCATGGTCACGTATATAATCGCATTTTTGATTCATCTTGTTACATGAAATGGGTAAAAACCTAAGAGTACTACTAAAACCTTTCACATTTCTTTCAGCAACAGTTACAGACCTGAAAATGTTTGTTGAAAGTAAGTTAATTAACATTTAATAATTCTAGAACCAGAGTAATATTGTGTGACATTTATGTGAGTTTTAAAAATTCTTTTTCTTGCCTTTTATTCAAAACAACATATACATATAATGTATGTACCAAGAGCTTGAAAAAATAATGACAACAATATAAAGAAATCTAAATGAGACAGGTCATAATACTTTCAATGTTATATGTCTATGAATTGATCGCCACTGAGTAGAATATTATGTTAAATGAATGAAGTAAAACAATACGATTCTACAATACTTCGGGACACTGAACTAAAACGATCTAATTTATACTGTCATACAAGTGAGAGGTTTAGCTAGCTTTAAAACCAGGTTAAATCCACCATTTTCTACATAAGAAAATGCCTGTACTAAGTCAGGAATATGACAGTTGTTATCCATTCGTGTGATGTGTTTGAACTTTTGATTTTGCCATTTGATTGGGGACTTTCCTTTTTTAACTTTCCTCGGAGTTCAGTATTTTTGTGATTTAACTTTATACCATTCTTTACAATGAGTAAACTATCAGTATATTTCAAACGAAACCAAACCAGCTAAAGTAAGCTGATAAAATGATTTGTCCAATCCTTACAGATAGATAATTAAAGTTTTAAAAGACTAGACGGGATGTAATGCATATTTAAACTTGCTTATTTTAGGAAAACTAACCAAACAGAAGGAAGCAAAAGAAAGAGGTAAACACTGTTTTTAATAATCGGTGGTCGTATCTGTTTTCAAATCAAGACTTATATATGTTTCTCTCAATTGAAAAAAATTCTACGTAAATATTGATGATTAAGAAAAATATTTTTAACTAGTACAAGATTGATCTTACCATAGGAATAATCCAACTCCTCTGTTATAGATGTATATATTTGTTATCCCTAAAGACTTCTTGAGTCATCTAGTGTATCAATGCATAAATGCAAAGAAGAAAAGGAATATGTCAAGAACTGTTAATAAATGGTTTCCAAAACCAATTTATTAGCATCAGATTCATTGTGCTACAAGTTAATAGTTTCTTTGTACAAATTACCAAAAGTTTTGAAACACAATTTAGCATATTTATACACTCCTTTTCTTTTTTCTTCAGAAAATAAAGAGGAGGAGATTTCAGGAAAGAAATTTAAAATAAAATGTAAAATAGCTAATGTATCTTTTTTCATACAACAACTAATTTTATAGAGAAATAATATCTGCGAATAAAGGAGTATGTCCGATAACTGTTTTTTTGGGCTTAATTTAAAAAAAAAAGGAATATAAGTATGATAATGGTGTTAACGAAAAGGCCAAATAATTGCCTTTAATATATCCGAAAGTTAATTGACATTATTCTGTACGTGCTGCAGTCTGTAACGTTATGAAACGCTTTAAGTATTCAAACATGCTCATTTGATATCACTTTTTGTTTTCCTCTTGTAGTTGATGTGTTCCTTCCTCCTTCCTTTTCCTAAAACACACTTTCCTCCTTCCTTTTTCTTTTAAAACAAACCTTCCTCCTTCCTTTTCCTAAAACACACCTACCTCCTTTCTTTTTCCTTCTTCGTCTTGTTACCACATACCTTCCTCCTTCCTCTTATCACAACACATATTCCTCCTTCCGCTTCTCGCCGCAGACCTTCCGCCTTCCTCTTGGTGCCACACACCTTTATCCTTCCTCTTGATAGGATACATTCCTCCTTCCTTCCTTCCCTTTGCGTCAGAAAGGAAGGAGGAAGAATGTCAAACGTCATAAATGGAAGGAGGAAGGTCGATCATTTAAATCGATTGAAAGAAGGAGGAAGATCAATCGGCACGAAGTCTTATTGATATCAGGTCAGTAACTTTTTACTACTCTTATGACTACCATTGTTTTCATTGAACTCTTTAATAATGAATTATTTGAACTAATGTTTTATTACCTTTAAAAAATGCCTCACGACAATACTTTTTTAAACTTGAAAAGTTTACATATTTTACATGAAGCATTTTTTTTTAGATCTGATATGCATCAACTTCCTGTTAGCCGATATTTTAAAATTCAACCACTGTATCCACAAAGAAAGTTTTACATAAATATTTTCTTGGTTCCCTTGAAAACGAATGATTTTATATTTGGTTTGGGGTTTGGTGATTTTGAGTTGTAGGTCATGAAAGGAAATTCTTTGTCAATGTTTTATTGACTTCTTTGTAAGGACATTGTTTACGAATTGCTTTAGAACAACTTATGCAGTGATGCACGTCCATACCGTGTTTTGGTATTGTTGTCACATGTTCTCAAAAATAAATACACTACCAGGAATTTACATAGCGTTTACATGTACTTTTAATGCCACTAAATATACAGTACTGGTAAAAAATATCAGCAATCAGTACATGTCTTACCTTTGGACGATAAATACATGATTAAGTATTGCAACATAAACTGATTTTCTCACAGTGTATAACAAACCTCAACAAACTTTATTGGTACAGATCCCTCTATTTTGTACAAATAATCGTTGGAAACGCCTATGGCTAATGTACAATAAGAAATATGAAGTTGTTAATAAATAAGACACGCAATGTAAACTGACCTTTTCGCGGTGTATGACAACATTATACTGACTTATGGTTACAAAGTTTCCCATAATATAAATGTACGATAACAAATATATAAATAAACTGACCTTCTCACAGTGTATGACAAACTTAATCCGAATACTTTTCTCAATTTTCCTTTTTTATATGACAATTATCGTGCGGAAGCATAACTGGTCCCGAAGATGCGGATCGACCAGTTTTTTCGGGAGGACCATCTGTTTCGGGACGACTATTACCTTCCGGATGATAAATACATGATTAAGTAATGCAACATAAACTGATTTTCTCACAGTGTATGACAAACCTCAACAACTTTATTGTTACAGATCCCTCTATTTTATACAAATAATAGTTGGAAACACCTATGGCTTATGTAAAATAAGAAATATGAAGTTGTTAATAAATAAGACACGCAATGTAAACTGACCTTTTCGCGGTGTATTTTTATGTGAAAATTATCGTGCGGAAGCATAACTCGTCCCGAAGAAGCGGGTATCAATTGGCTTATGTACAATGAAAAATATGTTGTAGTTTATAAATTAGACACGCAATGTAAACTGTCCTTCTCGTGGTGGATGACAACATTCAATTGACTTACTGTTACAAAGTTTCCTCTAAAATAAATGGACGAAAAGAAATATAAAAACTGACCTTCTCAAAGTGTATGACAAACCAATACTGAATACTTTTATAAATTTTCATTTTTATGTGACAATTATCGTGCGGAAGCATAAGTCGTCGTCCCGAAGATGGGGATCGATAAGCTTTTTCGGGACGACCAGCTGTTTCGGGACGACAATGTCCTCCCGGATGCTAAATTAGTGATTAAGTAATGCAACAAAATCTGATCTTCGTACAGTGTATGACAAACCTCAACACACTTTATTGATACAGATCTCTCTTTTATATGGAAATAATCGTTCGAGATGGCAATTGGCTTATATACAGTATATATCTTCTTGCGGTGTATGAAAACATTTAATAACGTACTATGGCCACGTTTACCATAACATAAATGGACATTATTTATACAAATAATCGTTCGAGACGTCAATTGGCTTATGTACAACAAAAATATGAAGTATGGCTTACGGTTACCGTTACCGTATAAGAAAAAACGTATGACAATTTGGAGGTTTTACTTCTAATGAAGACTTTTCTGTTGAATCAAATGAATCAAATGAATGTGATTTTTTTCCTTTGTAATACTAGTACTAGTTATTTCAAGCGTTACTGTCAAATTTTGTCATAATCTGTTCAATAGTTTGAGAAAATCTGGTATGATGTAATACGACATCTAAAGCGATTTGAACAAAATTTCTTCGAAAAATCCAAATCAAGCAGCATCATGATAGAATATAGGGGGAATAAACGATCAAATATTTATCTCATCTGCCTGAAAATAGTTGAATATGATGCAAAAGATGACTCTAGGATGATAAATACCACTAAAGGACCCATTTGTCTTCTTTATAAAGTCCCTTTTAATCCATTTATACCTCTCATTTCCTCAAAATTGAAACTTTTTAGGCCAATAAATATAAATTTTTGGGTATATTTTACTCACTTATGAAAGAAATATGACAATAAATTAGTAATTGAAGTATTCAAGCTGAATAAACCATCCATAAAACCATCCATAGGAAAATTTACTGACTCAATGGAGGTTTAAATAAGTCTTTACGTAAAACTTAAAATTAACGCCGCGTTCCATATAGGGACATAAAAAGCTTCCCTTTTAGTGTAAAAGTTGTAAATCCTTCAAAAATAATTTCATTTACTTATAACTGTCTATTTCTTAAATTATGGCTTGCTCTGTCTATTAATATTTACAGTAGAGCCTGTTTTAAGGTAATTTTCTAATAAAATGTGATTTTGAGACTCAATTCATTCAAAATACGTCATTTTTGTAATGTTTCACTTAAATAGCATAAATGTTAATAAATGAGCGTACATGAATGTGCAGCTTCCCAAATCAAGTGTAATACCATCATTGATTTTCCCCTATTAGTGTTTGTTAAATTTGCACTTTTCAAAAAATTGTGCAGAATTTATCTTTGCTTCAAAAAAAAAGAAATACTTGGCATGAGTAAAGTTTATCCTGTCCAATCCTAAAGACAAAAATTCACATAATGTTTCATTGCCTTAAGAAAATAACCATCATTGGAAGTAAAGCAATCAAATGTTCACCTTTCTCTTCCTGTGTACAAGCTTCGGTAACCATGTAACCTCAAGTTTTCAAAAGTTCTATAAAACCACCAAAAAATAATGGTGCTTTGAAACACCCAAGATATATGTCTATGACACTGAATTGTTTTACTGCAATGAAGTGTAGGATTAATCTCCTACAACTGTCAAATTCAAGAGAATAATTTGTTCGACTATTTTACGCATGCAACCGGATGTGACGTACTGTGATTTGGTGGTATTACATCTGTAGTCCTTAAATGAGTTAAGCAGCAGTTCATATTTACTGTTTCTGATCGAGTTAGTTTAAACGGCGAACTGATAACACAAATGTGTTTAAAACTTACATAAAATCATATGGTGACATTCTTCAATTAATTTTATGTTTTAATAATTGCTTATCAGGACTCCAAGAATACAGAGAGTCGTTTCATACCATGTTATGATTCAATTGCATGTTGATTAATCGCCATCAGGTCTGACATAGTAGGCATTAAGTACTTTTCAACTTTTGATACATTCTTATTTAGACGACCTAAGCAAAATCAAAATGTGCCTTGTGAATTATTTCATTAATTTAAGGAAACTGAAGTTGTGCTTCTAGGAGTTAACTTGTAATACTTACAAAACGTTTGGCATAACCATAATATAACATTTCTTTTAACCACTTGCATTGTAGATTTTGAGGAGAAATATTTACTAAGATGCCAAGAAATCGTTTACTGAGGGGAACATCAGCCCATCCTAGAGACACAGGGAGTTTTACGCCATATCTGGAGGATTTTGCAAGATTGATTCAAGTCTCCGATAGTATAATAAAGTCCACCGAAATTCAGACACTTTATATAGAATTCGTTAATATGAGAACAGAAAATTCGTTATCAAATAACATTAAAAAGCAGTCAAAGTCAGGATTTCCACGATCATTCCGAAAATTAGCCATAATGAATAAATGGAGAGAATCGACAAAACCACGGGGTTACTTTATACGGGTAAAGCGGTACTCACGTCATAGTTTTAATTTTGTCGAATATGACCATATTAACAGACCGACAACCTCCTTAATACACAGACTTTCAATTGATTCACAGAAAGGACGAGGAGTGTTTGCCTCAGTAAACATTGCGAAGGGTTCAAAATTAACAGAATACATGGGTGAATGGATTAGTGAAGAAAGTCACCGCCAGAGAGATATTGCATATGCAAGACAAGGCTTGCCACCTGTAGCCATTTCCAACCCTAACAAACATACAGTTCTAGACGGAAATAGAAATAAAAACGGGAGACTGTTTAACACAGATGAGAATATTGCACGTTATGTTAATCATTCCTTTAGATTTCCGAACTGTAAACTTTTAGCCGAACATCAAGGAAATGATATACAGCTATATGTCGTTTCAAAATTTTCAATTCCAAAGGGTTGTGAATGCGTTTGGGATTATAACGAACGTAGACTTGATGTCATAGCAGAGAATAGATGGTTAGCCTCTTAGTTTGATTTATATGATTGTTGTTATTTCACATGCTATGTACAATGTTGGTGTGGATATGTTTTAACTGTAATCTTCAACCAAAACAATTTAGTTTTTAAAGTGAATGCTAACCTCAGTATCCATGCAGGTAGCCACAATTTAACATCCGTCAAGTGGCTTTGAGTGGTGGTCGCCTTCCGTGCAATCTCAGGGTAGTTAGTGGTCAACTTGTATATATCTGTACACGTAAGGAGTGTCCTTTCGAAGAGTGAACTGCTGCGTTTGTACCACACAGTATACCTACACATACTCATATCCCTATCCCTTCCAGTGACAGTTTGTTAGGGTGGTCAGGGGATGACTTATATGTATCTGTCGTTTTTGTATTATACTTTTTTATTTTATATATATATACATATATATATACTGATACATGAATAAAATAGTGTTAAAATATAAAACTTGTACTTGTTTTGTTACTTATGCATGTTATGCGTGACATTTTCATATGGAATGAATGGAAACAAACAAACTGTATTCATGAAAAATCAAATACATCATAATATACACATTAAATAAAGAACCTTCTTTGGTATGAAAACATGCAATAACACAACAAAGAAATTGTATATACATTTTATAAATAAATACACATACAGCGGCACAAACGAAACAAAAATAGCATTCATGAAAAACAAAAAATTAAATATCCCAAAAGTTCAGGTCTATTGTATCTGTTTCCCATCACTAACTCTGACTCCCAACACTGTCTCTGGCTCATTTATATTGTTTTTTTTCTAGTTTTTCATTAACGTATTTAATAACAAGTAAATATATGGAACTAAATAATACCTATTGTTTCCCCATATTCTTTGCCGCGTTTAACTTACCATTTGTGTTAACTGTGTTTTCCAATTAAAAAAAAAAAGATGAAAATAGCAATATATATAGGTAGACAAAAGATTGATTTATGAAATCAATGTGCAACCCTCACCTCTCTACATTTTAGACGAAACGTATGAATTTAAGTATGAAAAAATATATATTGTACGAAAACACGTAATATTACTGTTACAATATTACAGTTTATGAATATTAAAATATTTATACAGTTATGTACTCTTCGATTCCTCTCGGAATTTACCTATTGATCTTCTTATCATTGAAAACGGCATCAAAATTCATTAACGTTATCCATGGTTCGTATAAGAAGCCTTACCTGGAAAGTTGTTGTTAGGTCCTGTCTTCGAGTTCCGCGTTCCTAGTGTAAAGATTGTTGTATTTTCATAGAAATGTTGAGGCATATACACAATATCAATCACAATTTTGACATATGTTACACTGGCACTATAAAATCCAATTAAAAGTAGTTTCACTTAAGATGTGATATGTCACTAATAATTTTCATCCATTAGTACAGTTTAAACAATAGTTTGTATACAGGTAAAAATTTCAGTCTTAGTGCGAACTCGCATTGCTATAAGACGTGTCACGGTATTTTTCTATCCAAAATCCATGTATTTAGTTTTGATGTTATGTTTGTTATTCTCATCGGATTTTGTCAAATGTCTTATCGTTTGTAGTTGTAAATCTTTTTTTTTTTTCTGTTCTATTCGTGTGTTACGGTAAAGATAATTAATCACCCAGTTCATTTATA